AGCCCCCCCCCCCCAAAAAAAAACCAACAACATCAGTTTGGATGAACTTCATCCTTGGCCCAATTCCAGTTAAGTGTCATGCAAAAAGAGCAATTGTTTCACTGCAGGAAAAAGACTGAGGAGTACAGTAAGCAAAACAGCAGTCTTAATAATCTCTCTGACTTTCTTGGAAAAGACATGTTAATCAGCAGCAAGGATTTGTTTGGTTTCACTTATGCAGAGTTCTTTATCACGAACCTGTATCAGTAAGCACAGTATGGGTTTCCCAAGTGACTGCATAGTTTGAAACACTGTTTCATGCTTTATGGATCAACGTTAAGGGCTACAAGTGTATAGATGGTTCTAGTTAATAGCAGTTTTCTGTCCCGTGACACTGTCCAAATGTTTACTTTAACTTCCATCACTGTCGCCTAGCAAGACAGCAACGGAAATCGGAGTACAACAGAACTAGAAGGGATCAGGTTAGGGAGACCGGTTACGAATTTTGCAAATTCTGCTATCATGAAAATTACATGGTATGCTAGGTGATGGAACATGCAGAGCTTCTGAAATTATAAAGTTAATAAATAAATATGTTCATGCACAAATACATGCATACAAATAATGAAATTTATTGGCAAGTTTCCAATGAATACAAGCAAAATAGGCCAAATGAATGTGAACTGATTGCATACCATTGCAGCATTACGCCTATGTCCGACAACTTCATAGAACCACAGCACAAGTGAACACTAACTGCACTGATGTTGCTGTTTCTATACTACAGTATCAAAAGCCCTCAAAAATTAAAACAATCTGTATGTATCATAAATGAATAAACAAAACTTTTTAACATTAATTAGCTAAACATTTGGAGTTCTTCATTAGCCACTGAATTTGTATGGGTTTTTTTTTTTTGTCTTTTTATTGTCTTTTGTAAAATTGTATTTTTCAGAGTTACCAGCTCCAGAGTGCACAGTTTTCACATTTTACTACAAAAACAAACTTCAAGATAACACACCACCACAAAGAAAACTTAAGAAACACCAGGGAATATCCTTGAATTCTCTAACAGATAAATACAGATGACTCTTATGATTTGGGCCTGTCCTAATTGCAGCAATACAGATTTATGACAGCCAGGTGGCCTTTCACTCCTTTAATCTACAATGATTTCTACACATATGCACCAGAAATTTCAATTTGCAGGGAACACATTTATTTATATCCTATTGTTTTCATAAAGAGACGTGGTGGCACAGTGGTTAGAATGCAGTACTGCAGGCTACTTCTTCTGACTGCCAGCTCTCAGCAGCTTGTCAGTTCAATTCTGGCTCAAAGCTGACTCAGCCTTCCATCCTTCCGAGGTCGGTAAAATGAGGACCCAGATTGTTGGAGGCAATAGGATGACTCTGTAAACTGTTTAGAGCAGTGTTTCTCAACCTTGACAATTTTAAGGCATGTGGACTTCAACTCCCAGAATTCCACAGCCAGCATTGCTAGCTGTGGAATTCTGGGAGTTGAAGTCCACATGCCTTAAAATTGCCAAGGTTGAGAAACACTGGTTTAGAGAGTGCTGCAAAGTACTGTGAAGTGGTATATAAGTCTAAGCGCTATTGCTATTACTAAATAACACAAGGCAGCAAGTATACCTAATACACCTTCCTCCTATTTTTCCTCACAACAATAATCCTGTGAAGCCAGTTGGGCTGAAAGAGAGTGATTGGCCCCAGGTCACCCACCCAGCTTTCATAGCTAAGGCAAAACTAGAACTCAGTGTTTCCCAGTTTGTACCCTGGTGTTTTAATCAAACCAAAGTGGCTCATTGGCAATTGGCAAACTATAGCAATTGCATAATACACTGTTATGCAATTTGAGATACAGAAACATAATCAGACGAATTCTTTTTACAATTAGGTTCCACTTCCCTCTTATTAAAGAGCTGAAAATATCTCTGACCACTGAATACAGTGGGATGGGGAACTCGGGGTTAAAAGAGCTGTTGTGAAAATATCAGATGAATTTATGGAACCTCACCCCCACCTGGCAACCCATCCCCCCAGAATCCATATCAAATTCCTACTTGGCTATAAAGTACATAGCATAGCTAGTAGCTACGATACTGGGGTTACCAGCACAGACCCTTCACCTTCCACCCTAGACATACATTAAAGGTCATATGTGTGATCTTTTGTGTCCTTTCATTGTAAAGGTTTCCAAAACCAGTTGTTAAGAACATTCAAACTGTTGTGACCTGACACTGACAAAGCTTGCTTTTTCTGCTTTTATTTCCCTTTCTTCTCTTTCTCTCTCACACACAAATACACACAAACTCACTGAATTAGCTTGAATCTGTACCACCAAAAACTGAAAGAAAATAACGGAAAGAATGCTGGAACTCGCTTTCCCTTGGCTTGTTGTACAAGACACGCTGCTTGTTTTCTACTATTTGGGATGCAGCACATGCTCTCCTCTTGCATTCTGGGCAAGCAGGGTAGCCCTGCTTTGCAGATGATGTTCCTCTGTTTCCAACAGCAGGTTATCAACTGCTAGGAAGAAAAACAAGTGAATTTTCCCTAATCGTCCCTCCCAAAACACAGCAGCCGCATGTTAAGCAAGACTATTGTTGCTAATGGCCCTGGGCAAGTAAAAAGCATAGCTGGTCCAAGGCTCTGAAGTGCCAGAGGTGAAATAAACTACATCACAACATCCCCATTCCCAGCCAATCATTAATGAAGAGCATAATCCATCAAAAGTTCATGCGTTCGAAAATAATGCTCTCCATTCATTTCAGCAGCACTCATATAGCCTCAGGAAAAAAAAATTTCCACAGGATTTTATGAATTAGATGTAACCAGACCTCTACTCCATTGCTATGAATATGGTTTCCTAAAGTACCACGTGGAGAGCCTACCTTCCCTTGTTCCAGGTTAAGCCTGGATTAAACTTTTCTGGCACTATACAACAGGGAACATAAGCACCTTTCTTTCGGGGATGATTGCACAGGTGTTGCATTTATATTTCAGTGAATGTTAATATTCTGGCTCGGGGGACACTCAAACAGCAAGCACAGAACAAGAAGTGGATCAACCAATCAGCACGCAGGATGCACATCTCCGTACAAGGCGCAGTTGGGATTTGGAATGTGTGCGCATCCGCCCATCTACAGCCATCTGCAACCTCCGCTTACCCATCAACCCCTTTGCAGAGTAGGTATGTAGTGTCATCTATGTGCAATTGTGGGCAGCTCTAAATCAAACTTTAGATGGTCATTGCTATCGGATGTCCAGGTACTCTGAATTATAACCCTCATAAAGCTTTACTACTTGCCCAAACTTCTAGTGAGTTGCAGGTTGCCTGCCCTGCTGGAAAAGCATGTTTGAAATTTTATATGAGACTGAAGTTCATCAGCCAGTCACAACTCCTGGACCAGCAGCATCGTTAACAACAAATCCAGGAGCATAAAGTGATCATAATAGGAGCCTTTGGTATAGACTTCCTTGGGGACAGAGGTAGGGCAACCTGTAATGAATGTCTAGTTGTGATTCACAACCCTATAAAGCCAGATTACTTGGGGTTCTTCCAGTTGAAGGATTCTTTGACATATTTTTTTACTGGAGTGAGAGAGAAGCAGGTGGAAAAGCGCAAATGGGTTGCAAATATCAAGTGATTTTGTGGTTTGAACCTTTCGAAAAATGCTGTGAGTGAGCTGTGACATTGGCATAATAAAAATCTTGCCTGGAATCCACCCAGGATTCAACACCAATGTGGAATTGCCTCAGCCTCCTGGCTTAAAGCCCAGCCTTTGGCTGGAAAGGATAGCACTAAAGAAAGGCTAGGATACTGTAAAAGAAAAGGAACCTCTCAAAGAAGCTTGGCCTTAGTCAAACTGGTAGCCCGAGTAGTCAGAAATGATGGCCTTCCATTGAATAATCTGGAGCCCAAAGTTTCTACACTGTTTGCAGACTCATCCATGCAAATACCCTGACCCAGAGAAATGATGCACATCAACCAGCAGCACTTAAGACTTTTTTTTTTTAGTTTCAATAACGCTCTTTTATGCCTTTAAATCAGCCTTCCTCATGGAAAACTCACACTATGTCCAGGCACCATCCTAACACAGCTGGACGACAATCTGCTTTAGAGTCTGCCAATTCGGATCAGCACTCAATTAAAGGCAGCCTTGCATATGCAAATCAGCCCAGATTTCTCGATCGATTTTGGAATTCCCACACAAAATCTATCTGTGGAAACTACAAAGTGATGTAAAGACGAAGGATGGATGGGGTGGGGAGAAGTGATGTTCTTTCAAATCCATCTGTAAGGCCCCTAAAAGAATCCAAATGAATTCTGGATCTAAATCTCTGAGTTTCACTGCACGGGAGACCACGCGAACCCAAAAGGCGCGTGGCAGCGCCGAGCAGACCCTCGCGCGTAGAGAAGCCGCCACTCCACGAAGAGTCCAGTCCGTTCCGCCCAACTCGGCATACGTGAGGTAAATTATTAACATTTGTGACCTACCGCGCGGGGAAAGTCGCCGCAGTATAGATGGGCGGTCAACGGAACAACCCTGCACGCGAAATCACGACCAAATAAACACGCGCGGAGGGGAGAGGAAGCATCGCCTCTCCACCGGCACCCAAGCGCGCCCGCAGAGGCCGGAGTCCCTGCAGCAATTTGCCGCCCTGAGTGGCTTCAGCGCACCCTCCTGAAACCGTCTGCAGAAAAACCAATCCCCTCTCGTCGAGTTGGCGTTTTGGCGCAGCAGCGGACGGAGCTTTGGAGCCTCGAGTGCCTCTTTCCCGCTGCAGGAGTAAAGCGAGCAAGCGTGGACGGGCAAAGCCAGAAGAGGAAAACCAAACCACCCAGACCGAACCGCATCACAGCAGGTGCTCTGCAGCAAGCCCGGATCATCCGACAGAAAGAGGCAGCTGCCTGCGCAGCCAGAAGGGACGGGGAGAAAGAAAGAGAGAGAGAGAGAGAGAGAGAGAGAGAGGCGGAGGCGCTTCGCGTTGCCTTACCTTGCAGAGCAACCGAGGGTCCCTGGAGGCGATCGGCGCAAATAAGGAAGGTGCGGCAGCCGGTCCGGTTCCGTTTTCCGCCCAGCTTGGGTTTCTGCAGGGTGCCAGCAACCCCATCCGTTGGCGAGGCCGATGCCTTTTGTTTTTCGGGCGTGGTGTGAAAACGCGACTCCAAGTAGCGCGCGAAGGAAAGCGTACCGCCCCCCCCCCCGCCCAGCGGGACTAGCAAGCTGGGGGAACCCCGCCTCGGCCAGCCGCTTTCTACCTAAACTCCGTCCGTGGACAGGCTAGCAGGGTGGAGAACCAAGGAGGCGGTCGGGAAGGGTAATTATGGCAAGTGGGAAGCGCTCGTGGGTGCGCGTACGTGTGTGTGTTCGCTCACGAGGCAAGCTAGCGCTGGGTTTCGCGTAAGCAGAGTGTACTGTACGCTTGGGCGATGCAGAAGAGAGAAAAGCTTCGAGTTTGGTCTCGCAGCTCCAGCAGGCAGAGAAAAAAAATACGAAGGAGTAGACTGGTACAACTAGTAAGCGTCCGGGCGTGAATCCCGAGAAAAACCATGGGAGTTCAGGGTCATGTGAATAAAGCACAAACTGTTTCTCTCTGAGCATGTGCAGAGCGCCTCACTCTGTCCGGGTGGTAGTCAGGTGTCGATTTAAAAAAATAATAATCAGAAACGCTTAAGGTCAGACCGCTTTAATGAAAAGTGACTTTCCATTATAAAGGGAGCCAGCTTTTGATTTGGTTCCAAACGACTTACTGGACTTTTTCCTGACCAAGTACACATCTTCCTTTACTGCTGTTTCAGGAAGCCTTGGCTCAAAGTATTTGGATTTGAAAAGAAAAGAAAATCCATGGCTAACCCAGAATTCAAGCTATCAAGACTGGCTGAAGGATTTCATCAGCATGTTTAATATTTTTCTATTTTTTTTAATTCCAAGAAAAGAATAAAACTGATGCACATTTTAAAAATATAATGAATACAACGTGCTGTAAATAAATAAGGAAGCCGTGTATTTTGAATTTATAGACACGTACTTGATAGTACATGCTTCCAGAATAGGACTTATAGCTGCTGTGAAAGTGGATGCAAAGAAAGCTGTGTAGGCATCATTCTTTAATGCCATCAGCCAAAGAAAATGTGGCATTGATCCTTCCTTGCTTATTATTGCTTAAAAAAAACGTCATTGTGGATCTCCAGATTGTAAAGTTTTGGAGGAGAACTCCTATTGGAATGCATTTTTGCTTCATGGGGTCTGAAGTTCGGGGGGGGGGCTACTCTTTCAGTCTGTGTCCTGCCAAGGAAGATATTGTGGTCAGAGCTCTTTCTCAGAACTAATGGAAGATAAATAATGCAATAACAGTTTGTTAATGTAACAAAGCTGCTTTAAAAAAATAGTACAGTGGAAATCCCAAAGCAACAAATACGTCAGATTAAAAGAAGTAGTCAAGATGCTTTATCCCTAAGCAGTCACATATTGTGCTCCAGAATTCAGAGCTTGGACAATCTAAGTTTGAATCAGATCCATATTGGTTATCCATCCAAGGAATATAAAATAGCTACTCTTCTAAAATAATGATATGTACTGAATATCACCCTACCTTATTTTATTATTCTACGGTTTAAAAAGTTGCTGGTACAATAATCTTAAAACAAGAATAAGGGGTGGAATTTTGTTTAAGTACCGGTAATAAAAATCAACAATAAAAGTACAATACATCATAGATGTCATTCAGTTAAACTAGACTAAGGGCCAAATGCCAGCTGGAATCATACTGGTAGTAATTGAAATCATACTTGGGTTCCAATAGAAAAGAATATCTGTAGCTCAGGATTAAACTGGAGTTCTTGGTGCTCTCTGAGCTTAGTTGATGCCTTGCAGATGTTGCACATTGATGATGTTACCTACTTGATAGTGAAACGTGCAAGCAAGGACCAGACCCAGAGAACTCCATCATATCTAATGCCTGTATTTATTTATTTATTCTTTAAAAATTCCGAATATGTTAACTACTATAGAGGTATAAAACTAACTAATAAAAATAAATTATGATTGAATATATTCTTGTAACTCATTATGCTATAGTTCTGCCAAGGCACAAGTAAACCAATCACTTACGGTTTAGCATGACATCTCTCTTAGATTAATTACTGGAATAGGGTCCCCTTCCAAAACAAGAAAATTATGAAAGACTTATGAAAGACAACAGCAATTGCTATTTAAATATGTTGTCGAGGCAAAAGATTAAAAAATATACGATAAAATAGTTGCAAAATTTCAAAGAGGCAGTAATGATGGATCAATGGGAAGACTTATGAAGAAAAAAATCAATCAAATATACATCAAGATATAAATGAAGGAAAAATTGGTACAAAATGTTCTAAAGGTGATATATATATATAACTCCGTTGACAATTACAAAATGGATAAAACGATAAATTATATAACAGTAGTTGGAAATGCAGTAACAAAAAAGGAACATTTTATCATTTGTGGTAGTTACTATAATATCACCCAAAGTACTGGAAAGTCATAACCAAAATATCCAAAAAGTCTGAAAATAATGGATTAAAACCATAAATATTTTTATTAAGTATAACCCCAGAGACTGTAAGTGATAAGCATTTTATTTTATTAAGACATATGGTGACACATGGAAAAGAAAACCCTTACTATCAGTGCAGGAGTGGGAGAGAAAAAATTGAAAGATATGTGGTAATGTCGCTCCTGCCCTATGGAACAGTCTGCCAGTGGTGGTGAAAACTGCTCCCACTCTTTTGGCCTTTCAGAAAGGTATTAAAACCTGGTTTTGCCACTGGAGGTGTTTGACAGGGAAATATCCCTGTGCCATCCATCCTCTTAGTTCTAGTTTTATATATAATCCTTCTTAATTTTAATTATTTTTATATTTATCTTTTTTACTGTTTGTAAGCTGTTCAGAGTCACCCTATCGGTGAGATAGGCGGCGTATAAATTTAATAAATAAATAATGGGGGGGAAGTCTGATCATATTCAAGCAGGAATGGTTCGCTTATATACTAAGGGGAGGGGGGGCAACCTAAGACACAGAATATGGTTTTTGAAGAAAAAGATACACTGTTTTTAATAGTAATAATAATAATCCCCCAGTGAGGCATTACATTGATGTGATTGCGAGGCTTATGCTCTGGAACTTTAGAATTTAAACATGTAAGCACCTGCCACATAACACCCCACACTTAACAAGATAAGAAAGACGAAATCGGGATAGTGGATGTGGCAGTACCTGGAGATGGCAGAATAGAAGACAAAGAACTAGAGAAAAATCACAAAATAGCAATAAGCACCTTCAGTAGAATCCCAAAACAACTGGAGCACACTTGAACACCATCAGCATTGACAAGACCACCACTAGTCAATTGCAAAAGGCAGCTTACATCCTGCAACAATACCTTTAGCACCATGAAACTACATCTGCCTGTCCCAAGTCCTTGGGAATGAGTCGCTAGTGGACTGCCAAGTCCATCCAGTCTAAACATCTGGCTGATTGTATGAAGAACAATAATAACAGTAATTAAAATGATTCAAACAGAAATGAGTACATAATACTACTCAAAGTAAAGTATAAAAAAATACCCAAATAACAATTAGTAGCTAGGAGAAAAAGAGATGGAGGAGAAAGTAGGGTGTGGGCTACCAGAATGTATGTATGTATGTGTGTACAGTAATGTATGTGCATGTGTTTGTATAGATACATACACATATGTATGGAACAGGCACACACACACACACACACACACACACACACACACACACACACAAACGTACATCATTACTGATTGCAGACTGCAAAGAATAGGTCCCTGCAGATTTTTGGAGGTGGTTTGACCTTGCCTTCTTCCTAGGGCTGAGGAGTGAGAGACTGGCCCAAAGTCACCCAGTTTGCTTTATTCCCAAAGCAGGAAATAGAACTTGTGGTCTCCCAGACATCTCTCTGTCTCTGATCTGTTTTGCTTTTTAAATATTTTCTTCAAATTCTTTTATCTATGTCTATGTTTTGCCATTTTTTTGCTTCAATATTTTATTGAACCAATAAAAAATTAAAAAAAACAATAATTGCAATAGATTTTGAGATCATATCCTTTTCAACAATATTTCACAAATGACCAATTTGTTTTTATGTTGTTGAAGATATAGTGAACCTACCATTTATCTGAATATATTGTTCCATTTCAGTAAGAAGCAATTACATGTATAATTCAACTTGAGATTTATTTCAATCACAGGAGAAAGCTAACAACATTATCAAAAGATTTATTTTTCAGCATTGGAAACAAATATTTGGTTACAACTATTTAGTGGTTTGCAGAATTAATTAATATAGATAAGGGGTGTCAAACTCAATTTCATTGAGGGCCGCCTCAGCATTGCAGTTGCCCTTGGGGGGGGCAGGGGGTATGGCCTATTGGGTGGGCATGGCCAGCTCTACATCGTTCGATTCAAGGGTGCCTGTGGGGGCCTGGGCAGAAGTGGGACAGATCTGAGGGTCTCTGGCAGAAGGGGGTGGGACCGGGGCAAGTGCCAAGGCATGGTCCACTGGAGGAGCCTCATTGCCTGCTGAAACCCCTCCCCCGGAGCCCATCAAGCCAGATAGGTGAAGTAGGTGAGGGCCATTTGCTGAACACTTCCAGGCAATAGTGCATTTCTTCATTCCTCACAAAGGGTGACACCTCCCCAGCATGCCCCAAGGGGTGGGGCCGACATGCCAGGGCTGGTTCCTCACTGTTTCCAGATGGCCTTGTGGAGCTAAGACTGAATGTGTTTCAGCATAGATGGCCATCACAAAATTGTACATTGGCTCCCTCCCAGCTGGCCAGGGCCAAGGCACTGGGGGCCATTCCCTCAGGGTTTCCAGGATGGCTTCGCGGGCCACATGAAACCACTTTGCAGGCCGCATCCGGCTCCCGGGCCTTGTGTTTGACATGTCTTATATAGATCAACCATGGATAACTGTAATGAATCACAGTTATGAATCAATTTATCGGTATATGTATGCTTGCAAATATGTGTTTTGTATATTGTTTCCTTTTATAGTTTATTTTATAGTTGTGTGAATTTTTTTCTTGCTTTTTGTATTTGGTTACTTAAAAAAGACAAGTTCTCAGCCATCTTCAAAGTGTGTCTTAAAACTGATATAGGATATATAATGCAGTTTTTCCACCTGATTCATTTTTTTAGCTTGCAGGTATATAAGCCTAGTTTATTCACAGTATCTGTATTTTTAGTGAATTAGATGGTAAAATGCCAATGATAGTTTATATCACAAAGGTTCACAGTACATTTTGCACCTTCCAATGTATCACCATATAGACATTTTATATTTATCACAATTTTGCTCTGTATAGAACCTAAGAACTTTCACTTTCACCAAATAAAGTGAAATTCAGCTGGAGAATTATTAGCAATACGCATGAGCTAAGAAGGTCATGATTGAAGATAGCAAACGAGAGACCCTTGAGAATATTGGGAAGGTATGGCAAATAGGTAGCGAATAAAACTAAAGAGCAGACAAGGATTCAATTGACTAGATTGCTGCTGTCATAAATCAAACTTAAATAAATCACCTTCCAATGTGTAAAAAACAGCCATTTGTGGTTTATTCAATGAAACACGTTTAAACAAAAACAAACATGGTCTTAGATTGATACATGAAACTGGTCAAAATGCTGTAACAGGCTATGCTTCTGCTAAGGACTTTTTTTAAAAAAAATCCCTGCTCTTTCTCAAGATACTTGATTCTTTCTCCTAATTATTTTCTAATAGTTTGCACTGAATCTTGATTTGGCAAAGGTTCTGATTCTTCTCATTTGAGAATGGATGGTGATATTCTGGCAATATTACAGCAGGAGCCTCACTCAAACAATTTCATTATTATTATAAACTTATTAATGCTGAAGTATGCCTACAATGTTGAAACAGTAAGTGAGGGCTTTCTCAGTCATTGCTCTAAGCTTCAATATAAGCTAGATTTTTAGCATAGCATATATGAAACTATGCTATGCTGTGTTAAACTATAAATTGTAGTTTGCAAAGCATCGTTTATATCTCCATGTGTTATGCAAATCCAGTTGTTTATATATTATACAATAAAATGTAATTAAAGTTTTGTACAATATGTGAGCTGGGTCACTGCTTGCCTGCAGGTTTATAATGTGATAGTCATTATTTTTGACAAAAGCCATAAGAAGTGTCAGGAAGAAAACAGGAAAATGAACTAAATGAGTATAAAGTGACAACAATAAATACTGTATGCATTTTCTAGAAGCGGATCTGAGCCTCAAAGAATGATGAACTGCACTGCATTTCTACAGCAATCTGTTTCAATCCTATAGATCAGCCTTCCAGTCCCCAATGTCATTTCCTCAGATAATCTTCTCAATGCCATATTGAAGTTTTGGTTCAAGATTCAAAGGTACCTGAGTGGGGAAAACAAACACAACCCAGATTGATATACTTATAGTATCTTTTTGCACTGCTGCGGTGGACAAAAGTTAAGTGGTTAAGTGGTTAAAGCACCAGGCTAGAAAGCAGGAGACCATGAGTTCAAATCCCGACCTAGCTATAAAAGCCAGCTGGGTGACCTTGTGTCAGTCACATTCCCTCAAATCAACTCACCTCACAAGGTTGTTGTGAGGAAAATAGGAGGAAGGTGTATTGGATATTTTTGCCACCTTGAGTGACTTGTAAAAACAATAAAGGGATACAAATAAATAAATAAATAAATATTGCTCACAACAGGATACTTTGCAGGGAAGGAGGAGGAAGGTACAAAAGTAGAGAGATGATGGTGTGGTTTAGATCTTTTGCAATATGGTATTTAGCCTCTGCTCTGGACAATCTGTCGTACAGGTACAACCCATGTTCCCCAAGATATATATTTCTCTCTTCTGCTTCTAGTGTTTCCCCTGTTGGTTGGAGATGGAAATCCAGGTTGGAAATTCATGAAAGGAAGAAATGTGGTGATTATTGTAAAGGATGACACTCTCCCCTCTCCCCCACAAGGACTGTAACAATCCATGTGAATCACCATGACCATCAGTCTCTTTCTCCATGCCGTAATTAGCAACCTGTGCACAGAATCTGACTAGAAGCTGCTTGGTGTCAGAAAGTTAAGAGGAT